TTCCTGTCCTGTTTTTCTTTAGTAATTGACTACCACATAGAAGTGTAAGCCAAATAAACTCTTTCCTCCCTAACTTGCTTTTGGTAATGGTATTTCATCACAGCAATGATAGCCCCAGCTAAGTCAAGGATCAAACCTTCAAGAGCTTCCTGGGGCATAAAGCAAGTTCAAGGTCAGTCTGGATAACTTCACAAGGCCCTGTCTCAAATATGAGCTCGAGATTCAGCTAGGTGGGCAAGCACTTGCTTAATGAGCTTGACACCCTAGGCTCAATCCCTCATGCTACACAAAGACAAAGCATGATGAACAAAGCCATACTGTTAATGCCCTAGCTCATGGTTTCTCAAACTAGTTCTCAATGAAGTTACTTCCCTCTAGTTTATCCAAGACTATGTGGATTCTTTTGTGTTTCCATTTCAGTGAGATTCTGAATTATATACCTCACTTATTTCACCCCTGTCTGGAGTTTCTCCATCTATCTGAAGCTGGTGTCAACATGCCAAGGGATGACAGATTCTGTGTCCTCAAGGTTGTCTCTCTGGCTATTGACAGCAGTAATATCTGTCTTGACCTGTATGAGCAGATGGTCTGCACTGAGCTTGCCCCAGAGCAGGGCTCCCTTTTATTTCTGATAGAAAGAAACAAGGCTTCTGCCCCAGGAATGCCATGCACAACTCTCACGTCAGCTCCCAGTGCCTTCGCTGCCTTGCTTAGGAAAGTTGTCTGAACACAGATCAGGTCAGACAAAACCTGGTGCTCTCTGATCCTTGTTCTGGTAGAGATGGTGATGAAGCCCAGCTGTGGATAATGACGATCTCGTGTCACCAATGTCCCTGTGTCTTAATTATGTAAGTGCTATGTTTGCATCATAAAAGACTGTCACTGAGTTTATATCCCTTCTCCAGGAGCACGGAGGTAATACAGGCTGCAGCAAAGCTTAACACCTGTCTCAGCACCAAAGAGATGCACCCAGTGGGACACTCCTGGGGATTTATGTTCTGGGGTAGTCTCTTGGGGCACAGAACTGCCCTCCTCTGAGCCCTTCTTACCTTGCCTTACCGTCTGTTCCTCAGCAGTGGAATTGTCAAAATATAGGAGGAAGTGAAAAGATAAACTTTGTGCTCACAAGAACACATGTATACATGCACTTATACAAGAACATGTGCATACATGTGCACACATTCAGACACACACAGAAATCAAGAAGCAATCCAGCTAAAGCTAACAGGAAACACCGTCCCCTTACCCAGTATGGACAGAAGCAGAGATCCATCATGCTACATCTTGCTGTGTCCCCTGTGTACATGGTGACAGATTGATCCAAATGAGCTGGGACATGCAAGAGAAACTGTAACTGTGCCTAAGGGGGCATCTGCTGCTGAGTGTTTTTGCCAGATGTAGACATGCTAGCCAAGGACAGACCACCCAGGAGGCCAGCTGGCTAAGAGAACTTCTGGAACCCACCATGTACAGTCTCTGTGCACACAAGTGTCAGGATTAACTTCCTGAAGCCCCGGTTCAAACCATTGTCCCTGAGATCCAACTTCATGGAAGAGAGAGTTCATCTTCACTCTGGGCAGTGGGCTATTGCCCAAACTTCTACACTCTGCCTGTTTCTACCACAGCTTCAATTTGGAAAGACATTTAGGAGCTTGTTATCCTGAGGAACTGTCTGTGTGGCTCTTATCTGCCCCAGGACTTTGGGGAGACCAGTTAATGACAGTCAACTTCGCAGTCCAGCTACAACTGGAAGGAACATGTTTGCTTTTCAAACCCTCCAGTTTCCTGCTCTGGCAAGAGATTGTGCAGTGGGGCTTCAGCCATGGAGCTGGCTCTGTGTTGACAGCAGTGTTTCAGGCAGATCTGTGCTGGTGGAGCCAAGCACTATCAGGGAAGCCATCTTGAGGGCTCCAGGCAATTCCCACTTGTTTCTATAAACCTTTTAGTTACTGGTTTCCATGGAAACTGTGTGTGATTGATGCTTCGTTTCCTGATTGGAGGCCTATCTGGTAGTGGAAAAATGAGCTGACCCTGAGGCCCAGGTCTGAAGGCCTTGCTTTCAAACCCCTGTGCTTCATCAGAACAGTGAGTGGCAGCATAGAGTGCAGCCAGGAGAGACAGTCTCTGTCTTCAAGGAGGAATGGCCAGTGTGTTCCATCTTTCATAACTGTGACCAGATACCTGCCAAGAGGCAGCTTAAGAGAGGAAAGACTTATTCTGGCAGAGTTTCAAGGGCTCCAGTCTGTTATGGTTGGAAAGGCATGGTGACAAGAACTGGAAGCAACTGGTCAAATGTTTCCCACACAGTCAGAAAGCAGAGAGAAGAGATTGCTGATGCTTGGCTCATTATGCCTCTGTTACCACACCCTCAGCATCTTCCACAGACCCCAGTGTGGCCCATGACCACCTTCCTTCACCCTCAGCATCTTCCACAGAGTCTAGTATGATCCATGGCCACCTTCCTTCACCCTCAGCATCTTCTGCAGACCCCAGTGTGGTCCATGACCACCTTCCTTCACCCTCAGCATCTTCCACAGACCCCAGTGTGGTCCATGACCACCTTCCTTCACCCTCAGCATCTTCCACAGACCGCAGTGTGATCCATGGCCACCTTCCTTCACCCTCAGCATCTTCCACAGAGCCTAGTGTGGTCCATGGCCACCTTCCTTCACCCTCAGCATCTTCCACAGACCCTAGTGTGGTCCATGACCACCTTCCTTCACCCTCAGCATCTTCCACAGAGCCTAGTATGATCCATGGCCACCTTCCTTCACCCTCAGCATCTTCCACAGAACCTAGTGTGGTCCATGGCCACCTTCCTTCACCCTCAGCATCTTTTCCCAGTCCTAGCATGATATGTAGCTACCTTCCTCTCACCTCAGAATTCTTCCACAGTCCTAGTCAGATGATTCTGGCAAGATCTCTGCTTCCCTTGTCCCATAATCCCCCTGCCAACCCTCCCAATGTTGTGTCCAAATTCTGAACCCCAAAATCACCAAAAACCCATTCTGATGCAAAAGCAAAGAGTCTTTTATTGTTTAACAAGTTAACTGTATTAACCCGTTTCCTCCAACTGCCCAGCACAGCAGATGGGGCAAGAAGGACCTGGAGGGACCAAGGGGTGGGGAATTTATTGAGGGCAGAGCAAGGCAAGTGTTTAGGGGTGCACAACAGTCTCAGGATTGGTGCACTTCTGAGCTTGGAAACCTGCCCTGAGCTGATTAGTCAACTGGTTGCTGTGGACTATAGTCCCTCCCTCCTATGGCCTGTAGGCCCTTTCCCAGGGAGGTTGCTTTGTTCTACATGTCACTGTTACCATAAAGCACATCCAGAGTCCATCAGCTAACTTCTGAGTGGTTCCTTGCCACATGGAGGTATCTGGCTTTCCTAGTGACTAGGAAGTTGGGCAAGGTCAGGAAAGCACATATTGCTGAGTCAGGGGCCTTTGGCTTGCTGGGTCTTTTCTGCAGCTTGTCATAGCTGCTAAAGCAGGGGGCTGGTGAGGGTCAAGTCCCTTCACTTGGCCTCTCTGGAAAGCCACCTGCAGAGGAAGGGCCAGTTGTGAAGCTCCACTCTGGGAGGGATGAGGCTAGAAAGCTGCAGTTTGTCATTCTGGCTGCCTCATTGATGGCACCTCAACACTTACTCTATATCATTGTCCATCTTAACCCAGTCATACCTTGCTGTGTGCATGTAGCTATCTATTTTAACAGGTTTGACCCTCTCAAACAGAGCAAAGGTGCTCTATCTGGCTAGAACAACGAGTCCTGGAGTCAATGGACAGGAAAAAGAGTTCAGAGGTTGGTGAGAGCCAAGTCTATGCTCTGAAAACACAGGCATCAGAAAGGCATTTTATCATAGTGGTGTAGTTGATGGTGAAGGCTCAAGTGTAGCATGAATAATAAAAACCCAGAGACAGATATTGGAGTTCAAGTTAAAGATCAGAGAAGCAAAGAGGCCAGCCACTAGCTCTTACCTCTACCTCAGACCAAAATGGGTGATTCTGTCTCCACGAATCCTCAGACTCAATCAATGCTCAGAGCTCCTGTCTCCTCTCACTTTATATTCCCCTCTCTGCCCAGCCCTATCACTCCTGTCTCCACCTCCCTAGTTCTAGGATTAAAGGTATGTGATACCAAGTTCTGGGATCTAAGGTATGAGCTCTGTTTCCCTTTTAGACCGATTCATTTTCATGTAGCCCAGGGTGGCCTTGAATTCACAGAGATCCATCTGCCTCTGTCTCCTGAGTCCTGGGATTAAAGGTGTTTACCACCACTGCTTGGCCTCTATGGCTGTGGCTAGCTTTGCTTTCTTATATTCAGGCAAGCTTTATTAGATCATAAACAATACATCTCCACACTCAAGTCAGAACGGCAGCAGGCAGACCAGCCACAAAGCTGCAGCAGTGATTGAATACCGCAGTGAGAGACAATGGATATCCTGTTTATTGAGCATCTCTTTTGCACCAAGCACTTTATACAGAACTTTATCTCAGTGAATCTTAACAACAGAGAACTGTGGGTACCACTTTGTCTCATCTGTTGAAGAAGCATCTGGGCTCAGGACAGTTAAGAAATCAGAGCACAACTTCACAACTGAGGTTTGAACCAAAGCTTACACAGACCTTTGTCCCCCTCCCAAAGCACTACTGACTACAGTGAGCCTCCTTGACCTGGGAGAGAAGCTATGGGACCCACACTAAGGCCACCACTGTAGGACTTGAGAGGAAGCAGAACTGATAGAGCCTGTCCATGGGACTGAGATATAGTGGTATATTTAACAACTCTACTCCATCACAGAAACACGGGTCAGGTGGACATGATCATTTCGTGTCATTTAAAGAGATGAAGAGACTAGTCAGGGTCGAGCACAATCAAAGCTCTTTGCAAAAGAAGTGCTGGTGATGGTGATCGAGGGTCATGTTGGAGTGACAGTGGAGGTGATGATGGTAGCAGTGGACTTGGTGGCGATGGCATGAATCATGGTGAAGTCGTGGAGCGGTGATGGTAGTCAGAGTGGGGTTAGAGATGATGGTGAAGGCGGGGATGGGAAAGGATGGAGGTGGGATGGTGGTACTGAGATGGTAATAATGAAATCGTAGGCTGGTCGTTATGGTAGCAATAGAAGTGACATTGGTGGTGATGAGGGTAGTTTTGGGTGATGGAGGTGGTGATGCTGACAAAGGCTGTGGTGATGGTGATGAAGGTACTAGTGGGAATGGATGTCAGCTACATAGAAGCAACAGAATAGTGGCAGAAGTAAATCACTGCTGCCACAGAGTCCTTCACCTATGCCACATTTTCTGAAAGAAAAGAAAGTAATTTTGCCATGGCGGGGGCAAACTTTGAACCTCACTGCAGGAGTTCTGGGGTTACAGATACTAGCCACCACACATCTGGCTTTTGGGTTCCAGGGATTGAAGTCAGTTTGTCAGGCATGTGCAGTTGGTTTAAGTACCAACCGAGCTATCTCACTGGCATCCGACACTTCATCTTAATTAAAAACATTTAAAGTCAATTTCCTGGTATTTTTAGTATGGCAGCTAAATCAACACTGCAATGATAGAAAGAAACACCAAGAAGCAAGCAAATCCCACTTCACGAACTTTCCTTCAACAACTACCCTGGCTAGGATCTGAATGAAACCTTCGTGCAGAGTCAGGTCTTAGCAGTTCCTGACGTCCCTCTCCATCGTCTCCAGGGAAGCCACCCATCCTCTGCTGCCTTCTCTGTAACCACAGCTCTAGGGTGTACTTGCACTGTGAAGCCTCTCAGCATCTGTCCATCTGTCTGTCTATACAATGTTCTCCAAGCAGCATCTTGTGCAAAAGCCACTGTAAAGGGGCAGAGGAGTAGCAGCAGCAAGATGGCTTGTCTTGTATACATGTAAACAAGAATTTGAGCTGGGAATGTAGTGCGGCTGCTAGAGTGTCTGCCTGGAATGCATAAAGCCCTGGGTTCGACACCCAGCACCCCATAAAATAGGCATGATCGTGGCACACACATGTAACCTTAGCTCATGAGAAGTGGGGGCAGGGAGGAATCAGGAAATTCGAGGTTGTCCTTATCTAAGTAGTGAGTTCTAGTCCAGCCTGGGCTACATGAGACATTGTCTCTAAAAGGAAAATAAAACCAGAAGAGCTCAGAAAGTGCCATCCTTTAGAATCCCACAGAGATTTGGGTTAATTCCTCTGTTTCCCAAGGAAATGTACAGAATCAACCCACACCTGCTTGTTATAATGGCTCTATACAATCTTAGAACCATTTAACCATCTAAGTTTGGAACAAACAGATTCAAAGAATGGGCCCAGACACCCATGGCTGGTCTGTGGGAGAGGGGGCAGAGAGGAAGAGGGGGCAGGTGGGTGCCCTTGTATCCATACCTAAACCAGTGAGTTCACACTTGGCCTCTCCAGGGAGTCAAACACCAGTCACTTAGGCAGGGCTTGGAGTGTATTTGCCTTCCTACAGAACATAAGACTTCTTCTAGACATGGCCACAGCATGATGGGGCAGGCAGTCCAGCAAAGTCACTTTGTGACCTGTGCTCCCTGTGCTTGGTGTTTTGTGGAGCTGCGGTCAGGTGGCTCACCGTCTGAATTGTCCACTTGCTCATCATGCTTCATCTCGCTCCTCAGTCCGACCACCGGGTCTCCTAGTTACTGAAACACAGGCCGCCATGTCCCTCATCCTCAACTTTTAAAGCAGGCCGGATCCTAGAGGTGGGGGGGGGCAATGGGATTCATCACTCACTGTGATGGTCACCATTAGGCCGGTAGATTTGCCCTCCCTTGCATCCCATGAATGCAGTGTGGATTGTGAACTTCCCTTCCCCTTCCCTCTCCAGCTTCTAGAGAGCGGGGTTGGAGGGTAGGGGTGAGAGTGAGTAACAGTCACCTGCTCCCTCTAAGTCTTGACACCATGTGTGAGTGAGTTAATGACTTTCACAGGTCCTCTCCCATCAGCTGCTTGTTAGGGAATATTATTTTAAGGTGTGTGACTTTTGTTTATGTTGCATTTGTTTGATTCTGTGAAGCTGTACTTGTTTGCCTGTCTAAAACACCTGATGGTCTAATAAAGAGCTGAACGACCAATAGCGAGGCAGGAGCAAGGATAGGCAGAGCTGGCAGCCAAAAATATAAATAGAAGGAGAAACAAGGGAGGAGGAGCAAGAGAAGATGTCAGGGAGCGACCACTCAGCCACCCAGTTACACAGCAGTTCATGGAGTAAGAGTAAGATTTACAGAAGAGAACAGGAAAAGCCCAGAGGCAAACAGTAGATGGGATAATTAAATATAAGAAAAGCTGGCTAGAGACAAGCCAAGTTAAGGCTGAGCATTTATAAGTAAGAATAAGCCTCCGTGTGGGATTTATTTGGGAGCTGGATGGTGGACCACCCAAAAAAAAAAAAAACAGAAAGAGTAAAAAATGTTTAGCACTGCCACTGCAGGCTGTATGAATCTGGGGCAGAAAACTGACTTGGCTCATTTCAAGTTTATCTGGACATTACTACAGCAAGAATCAAAGGCCTTGGCCATGGCTAGTGGATTCTTAAAGATGAAGACTATTTTGGTTTCCCTCCTAGCTCCTGCTTGACCACAGCCTCCCAGCATTCTCTGTCCTGATGATGTGGGTGCATCCTCTTCTTTAGTGAGTCCTTATTGAGTGTGTATCAATGACTCATAAATCCAAGGCTGGTGGTGTACAGGCTTGTCACCTCTACTACATAGAAAGGTGTTGAAGGAAGATTGTGAGTTCAGGGGCAGCCTGGGACAACTTACTGAGAAACAAAATAAAACTAAAACAAAAAAAATAAAAATTTAAAACGGAGTGGAAGGCCTGACAAGATGGCTCAGCAGTTATGAGCACGCACTGTTCTTGCAGAACTGGGTTCAGTGCCCAGTGCCCACACAGCAACTTCCAGCCATCCTTAACTCCAGTTCCAGGGGACAAGTGATGGGGGATGTCCTTCTGCATATATGTTTCTCTTATTGGTTGATGAATAAAGCACCATTTGGCCAATAGCCAGTAGAGGCAGGAAGATAGGAGGGGTTAGGAGACAAGGAGGATGGGGAAAGGGAGAGAGGCACCAAAGGAGTAACAGGTCTGGGCATTCTCCATTTAGCCAAGACCACATCGAAATACATACATTAATAGAAATGGGTTAATAATTAAGACAGAGCTATACAATAAGAAGCCCTAGTCATTGACCAACAATTTATAATTAATATAGCATCTCTGTGTGTTTATTTGGGGATGAGAAGGGCAGCGGGAATCTGGCTGAACAAGAAACACCAGCAAGAGATAGGATTTCTTCTTCAGGCCTCTGTGGACACCAATCATGCACACAACACACTTACATACATACAGGCAAAGCACTAACATACAACAAGTAAAAATAAATCTATTTTAAAGAAACGAGCCTTTAGCTGGGCGGTGGTGGCGCACGCCTTTAATCCCAGCACTCGGGAGGCAGAGGCAGGCGGATCTCTATGAGTTCGAGGCCAGGCTGGACTGACAGCCTCCAAAACAATACAGAGAAACCTTGTCTCGTAAAACCAAAAAAAAAAAAAAAAAAAAAAAAAAAAAAGAAACGAGCCTTTAAAAAAATCATTGCTTTGAGTTTTTACAACTTTTCTCTGATTGGATAAGTGTGTACTTAACTGGCTCTTGGTACAAAGTAAGCATTCCTTCTAGTGAGCAAATCCAGGAAGGCATTTGCTCCTCTTGGATCTTTCCATACTCAAGGATTCTTACACATCAATGCTGGGGTCAGAAGCACCGTGTAAAACCTTAGCAGACCTTGTCTTAGCACATAATCCGCCCACGTCGTCAGGAAAGGGAATGCTGGGAAGACCTAGGAGGGAAACCGAAGTAGTCTTCATCTTTAAGAATCCACTAGCCACAGGCAAGGCCTTTGATTCTTGCTGTTGTAATATCCAGTTAAACTTGAAAATGGGCAAGTTGGTTTTTTTCCCCTCGGACTCAAATAGCCTGCAGCTGATGGGAGAGGACCCGTGAAAGACATTGACCCATTCACTCATGGTGTAGATACTTAGTGGGAGCAGGCAGCTGCTACACCCCTGATGACACTGAGAGTTCCTGGGGGCAGGAAGTGACATGGTCAGTGGTCAGAGAGGGACAAATTTATTCTCCACCCGTCTGAGTGGGAGGGAATGCAGAACCTTCTATTCCGGGTCCTGGGAGCTCTCCAGGAAACAAGTTCTGCCGTGATGGAGCTGATTTCCAGGGTCCTACAGATTTGCTGTTGCTGTTGCTCTGATCCCAGTCATGTTTGGTTGGAAGGAAGTCTGTAGCGTGTGTGTGTGTGTGTGTGTGTGTGTGTGTGTGTGTGTGTGTGTGTGTTGTATGAACCTTTGGTTTGAAAATGACAGATAAAAAGCTAAGGAACATTGATGAAAGAACTTTCCACCACAGAAGCCCAGCCTTGTGCAAGTGCCAGGCCAGCAGCATCTGGGAGGTTTGATCTAGACAGTGTGGACACTGTGTCCTCCCGGAGTCGGGGCTGAGTGTGTAGACCTGAGGAGAGAATCTAGCTGCTGTGAAGAGTTTCAGGAACCCCAAGTGTTACCCAAGCTGTGCCTCTGCCTGCTGTGTCACCGCTTCAGCCTCTCTTACTCCCTTCTGGTCCCATAGTAGGGACCCTGACCCAGCACCAGCCAGCTGTCAAACAGCTGTAGACACTGCACAGGAAGATGCCAGACCACAGCAGCTGAAGTTGGAACCTCTGAAAATGCATTTGGTCCCAAACCCACACCGATGGCCAAGCAAGCGAGATAGTAAAAGTGAATAGGAAGCATTTGGAAAAGTTCTAGAACCCAAGCCAGCTAGACAGAGTAAAAGTGGACAGGGAGAATGTGGAAAAGTTCTCTGGTGTCACTGTTATCTACCCATTGCAACAACATTATGCAAAGTTCAGTGTCGGTCTAGTGTATTAGGGGAAAAAAACATAAAATACAAATAGAAGACTCAAATCACTATACAAAGGTAGAAGTTGGTGGGGATGGTAAATTTTTTGGATAAAGAACCGTGGGCAAAATGTGGATGCTGGCCTTTCAGTTAGCATGTGAGGGAGAGAGCTATGAGTCAGGGTCAGATCCTGTGCCTGGAAAGGTGACTGACAAAGGAGTGGACTTTGTCCCTTGCTGAGCCCAACCCCAGCCTCCCTGGTGTTGTCTTGTCATTAGTATTCATCAGAAAAAGCTGACCATCTGCCTCCAATTCTAGCTTCAGTTGGCTCCAAGGCTGCCCTCTGAGGCTCAGGGTCCCAGATGGGATGAGTAAGGGTGAGGTGGCCTGGTCTACAGATCTATACAAGAATAAGAGTCCTCAAAGACCTTCTTCTTAGCTGGGAAGGTGGCTCAGTTGGTAATGTGCTTGTCACATAAGCATGAGGACTCCAGTTTGATTCCTAGGACCCACATGTATTATCTTACACGGTACCAGAACAGAATATCTGATCAAAGCTATTCAAGTAAGGTAGAGTTTATTTTGGCTCATAGTTCAAGGGTGCTGTCTATGGAGAAGAAATTCTGGTGGCAGCATTTTGAGGCAGGTGGTTATATTGTATGTGCAGTCAGGAAGCAGAGGCCAGTGATGCCCAGCTCCCTTTCTCCAGGATCTAAGCCAGGCCACAGTGGGCACGTTTCTCAGCCTCAATTGCTATAATCAAGATAACCCCCACAGGCATGCTCAGAGGATCATTATCCAGATGATCTGAGGTTCCATCAAGTTGATAATCAATAGTAACCATTATATGTGTACAATTATAACCTGGTGCTTGCTAGCCAACCAGGCTAGTCATGTGACAAGGTCCAGGCCAATGAAAGACTGGTCTTTAAAAAAAAAAAAACAAAGCAGATGGCTCCTGAGGAATGACACTCAGGACGTCCTCTGGCCTACACAGGTTCACACATGCATGCACAAACACACACACACACACACACACACACATACACAGGCCCTCCTGGAAGGTGGGGAGTCTACCAAATGCAGCACGGACACCATCAGTTTGGATACAGGCATGGATGGGTACGACAAAGCCGAAAAGACATTAAGTATTGCGGTAGCAAACATCACATTTGGGGATCCCAAAATAGTCTCACAACAACTCAAATCCAAGGTGTGATATGAAGCTCAGACCTCTAAGCAAGAACATCCTTCATGGATAGATCCCCCAGTGGTAGTCATGTCTGTGGACAGACATGCTCTGCCCCTGTGAGATGGCAATATCATTTCTGAGTAGCCCTGGAGAGGGGTGAGACTTCCTTCTCCATTGAATTCACCTCAGTGGTTGTTCTTGAAAAATCTGACTTGCCCATTTGAGTACTTGCCTGGCAAGGCCGTTGGCTGTCATTCCTTCTGGGCCTGAGTGACTGTGGTGAAAACCATAAACTGCCCAAGAACAAAGGTATTTAAGTGCAGGTGTTTACAGAAAGTCTGCTATTCCTAACCCTTAATTAAAACAGAGATGCCAGGGCTGGGGAGGTGGCCCAGCCAGCGGAGCACAAGCATGGGACCTGAGTTTGGGTCTCCAGCACCCACATAAAAGCTGGATGCTGCAGCTTGCTCTGTAATGCCAGCCTGAAGGCGGCAAGGACAGAAGGACCCCAGCGCTCACTGGCCAGTCAGCCTAGCCAATCAGCCAGAGACCCTGTCTGAAAAATAAGGTAGAGAGCTATTAAGGAAGACATTTGATGTGGACCTTGGCCAGGAACCGAACTCAAGTTGTCAGTCTTGGCAGCGGATGTTTTTACCCATTGAGCCATCTCGCCAGCCCCTCGTTGATTTTTTTTTCTATTGAAGCTCCTTCCTGACTGTTCTTGCAATGGCCTTGTTTGATTTCTCCAAATTTGTTTACCCCAGCCCACGCATAAATCTGTACAAGCAATTTCTGCCACGGTTCCTAACTATGGGGACACAATCTTTCTGATCATTAATGGGCTTTATTGCAGGTGGCAGGGAGGCTGGCTGAGCCTTTTACCCCAGATGGATTTGGAGTGCCTATTAGAGTCCTCAGGAGAAGTAACAGCCTCCTTGGGAAAGCCACTCTGCTCTGACTGCCCTGCTGGGCAGCATCCCCCCCCCGCCCCCCCCCCGCCCCAATAGCAAGGCAATGAGGACTGCTAGGAGCAATTTCCCTCCTGCAAACACTGTTAGTTGTGAGAGTGAGTCAGGCTCTTGGCTGGAGACCAGGTCAAAGAATTCCTTCATTGCCTACGGCTGTGAGGACTCTAACACTCTCTGCTAAGGACAGCTTGCTTCTGAGTTAGGTTAGGTTCAGACTAGAGAGGCCTGTTTGCTTTTGAACCCCAAAATTCACTGTCATCAAAAGGTACTCCTTGCCCAGAACAGTCTAAGAGACAGTAACAAAGTAGGAGCACCCTTCAGCCTTACTCAGCTGTCTGTGTGACCAGTGGCGAGACCTCCAGGAGCCCTGGGAGCTCAAACTCTGTCTCCTCTCCTAGTTTTATTCTTCATTTCTCTCTATAGCTGATGTACAGACAGACTTCTCTAAGTGGCTGCTGGTACTTTTTCTGTGTGCTTTCTCGTTTGTCTTTCTACAAAAACTTGGGGAGAGGCTATTGTGCCTGCGATTGCTTTAAGCAGCAGGGTGTAACACTGGGCATCACCTACCTCTCAAGGCAGATTCAGAGCCAAGGGCTGGTAGATGAGTGGACAACTCTGGGTCCCCTGGAGATCAATCTGGGGGTGCCTCCTGGGTCCAGAGGTCAGCAGCACCTGCTACACAAAACCAGAGACAGTATCTCAGAAGGTGGCGTCTGAGCTGGGTTGTGAAGATGATCACAGGGGCTTCAGGGGGCTAGGGATAGACACACAGAGTACACCAGCGGGAAACTGTGGGACCTGCTCAAAAGAGTTCCTAGCTCAAGTGAGCAGGCCAGTGGCTTGGCTTGACCATGAAGTGTGTAGATCAAGATCAGAGGTGGCTACAGAGCTCAAAGCTTTGGAGCAGTGTTGGGACTGAGAAAAAATTAAGAGAAAAGACGATTTCCTCAAAGACAAAAGGTAGATTGTTCCAGCATCCGGAAATGGGTCATTAGTAGGAAAATCCTGTTGGATTCCATAAGCCTACCAATAGGGGACCAGAGGGACAGGCCAGGAACACTTTTTGCATTCTGCATTATAAATGCACATGTGTTCTCCGAGTTGTCATAAGAAACCAGCTCACACATGTTATTACTAGCTCAGCACTGGCACACTGTTAATGATTTAAGTTAACCTCTTCCACTCCGAGTGCTCCTGTAAGAGTGCAAGGTTGGTACCAGCAGAAACTTACTTGACTCGGCATTTAAGGAAGCACCTGAGTCCAGACAGCTGCCGAAGGAGGGGAGAATGAGAGAGATGATAAAGACAAGACAAGGCAGGGCCTGGGGATTTGGGTTTTAGCAGAATATCATGTACACAGGGTTACAGGCATTAAAGTCAGAGTCTGTGCCCTAGCTGCTGTAGCAAGGCAGGCTCAGCCATCAGCCCTGAATAAGCCAATTTAAAAAGCCAAATTAGCAGGGGAAAGCAGTGAAGATCTATTCAACGTGACCACACTGGAAATAGGGACAGAGGTCCAGAACAGCCATGGTCCAGGTGTAGGCCCGCCCATCATTGTCTGGGCCCTAGTCTTTCCTTCGAGTCAGTCTGGAAGGTTGTCCATCTCTTCCCAGTCCCCTGGGATGCCTTATTTCAACAGTTCAGACAGCCAGAGTCAGGGACACGAGTTCCCTTGGAACATGCTCATTCCTCCCAAGCAAGTCAGTTACAACAGCAGGCGGCTGGCTCGGTGACCATTTACTGAAATGAATACGTGGGTGGGTTTGACTTTTTAAAACAAGTAAATTGGTGGCAAAGGACATACCTTTACACCTTCCTTAGACCAAAAATTCTGGGCAAGATGTTGTGAACCCCTGGTCAGACCCCCAGCTGATAAGCTGTCACCCAGAAGTGCTTTTAGCCATGTGTGTCCTTCACTCCCAACACAGTAGTCTGCTTCATGACTTTCAGATGAGCCTTAATGTGATAGCTACTTGGTCTGAGATCTAGGCTGTCAGCATAAATCTGAGTCACTCAATAGGATAGTCCTCCGGTTCACTGTGGTCCATTCATGTAACAGAAGTGCATATCTTCTTAACATTTGAGAACATGGAAAGACTCTTGAATTATGTGGAGATCTACTTTAAGCCCAGTTATATAGGTAGGGTTAGCCCTGGGTGGTGTGGCTTCAGAATGTTGTCCTTGGAAACCTACATAGATAGTATAAGGCATAGATGAGCTACTGGTATGTAGTATAATCTGAAGAAAGAAAAAAATGCTGGCTTTTTTTAAAGAGGTGGGGCTAAATGTAACTTTTGGAATCTGGCTCCTGTTTTGTGTTCCCGTGTACTTGTCTGTGCACATCAGAGAGGCTCCTTTGCACCCAGGAAGCTTAGGGGAAATAGGGTGTGCTGAGAGCATCATGAATCCTGTGCACCCTCTGCTGGCTCCAGGAGGAATGACAAGTCAATCCTTAGACCAGGGTTCCAAGAACGGCAGGATAGGGATAGCTCTCCCAGGACATTGATTTTGCAAATAGAAGAAATTATATAAAGGGGTGCCACATGCCCATGACACTGTAGGGCATGTAGGAAAAGTCTGGTGCTGCCCTTCCTCCTTTTTCCGAGGAACCCACATAAGCCCCTGTAGAGATCTGCATGTGGGGACAGCCCCAGCTGTGAGGCTGTGTGGAAGGCAGATCACATTTTCTATAGCACCTCAGACCATCCCAAGTCCTTGCCATGCTTGTTCTGGATTAATCTGTGCTTAGAGCTGTATGAGTCTATAATAACAACAACAACAGCAAGGCCCTCAGCCTATGCCTGTCTCTCCCATGTTAAGTGTGTGTGTGTGTCCAAATTCATCCTCTAAGCCAGAGTCCTAAAGAAATCTGAAATCCAGTTATCCTAGACCATATCTTGGAATTGTACCAAACTTTTGGCTGGACTGAGAAGTTTTTAATTGGCATTTAGTGTTTGTCTGTATGGTGCTCACCTTCTCTCGGGGTTCCTGTGAGCCTATGATAATTACCACGTGTAAACCCCTCAATCCAGTGGTGGATTTGATGGCCCCAGTCATAGGAACAAGCACTTGGCATTGGGCTGGGACACAGAGGAATGGGTAGAGACAGTCTAATTGGAGAGGCTCCCTGCCTGTCTTTCCAGGAGCTTTCCTCTGTAGGCAGAGTCCTGACACACGCTGGTGACAGTGAATCAGGATCTGTGAGGTATTTTAAGAACCTTAAAAGTGTCACCAAGGGGCAAGGGTTCCTTTTTGTAGATTATTCTGTCATAGAAAAAAAGAGCTTTAAGAACTGATACAGAAAGGAACTCGAGGACATCTTGAAGGTAAAAAGAGAACACAAGGCAAAGGCTGGGAGGAGGGATAATTGGAGAAGAGGGAGAGGAGGGAGAGGAGGGAGAGGAGGGAGAGGAGGGAGAGGGGGGAGAGGAGGGAGAGGAGGGAGAGGTGGGAGAGGAGAGAGACAGGAAGTTACACTTTCTGAGTTCCAGCTCCTGAAAGTGTCAGGTTCAGAACAGGGCATCTTAGGCAACAGTAAGGTACATCGCAAAGAGGACCCTGGCTCCTCCCACATCTTGTCCTGTTTCTCTTCACCTCTCGGTAATGAGGAATGTCCTTCTGTGTGTGTGTGTGTGTGTGTGTGTGTGTGTGTGTGTGTGTGTGTGTGTGTGTTTCTCTTATTGGTTGATAAATAAAACACTGATTGGCCAGTAACCAGGCAGGAAGTATGAGCTGGGCTACCAGACAAAAATTCAGGGTAAAGGAAAGCAGAGAGGAGCAGCCAGGAAGAAGCCTTGTAGCTACAAGGAAGATGAGAAGCCCCAGACATTCTCTGGTAAGATAAGGCCATGTAGAAATACATAAATAGAAATGGGTTAATAATTAAAAGAGAGCTAGCCAGTAAGAAGCCTGAGCCATCAGCCAAACAGTTTATAAATAATATAAGTCTCTGTGTGTTTAGTTGGGGCAAAGCAACTGTGGGCCCAGGCATGATAGGAAACTCAGTCTACATCTCAGCATTAGGTTGGTCTCTTAAGTGTCTTAGTTTTCTTGTTGCTGTGACAAAACACCAACAAAAGCAACTTAATGAAAGAGGAGTTTCTCTTGGCTCACAGTTTGAGGGGCACAGTCCATCATGGTGGGAAGGAGTGGTAGCAGAGGTAGAGACCACTGTTCACATCACATCTGCAATCAGAAAGCATAGAGAGATGAATGCCTGTGCCTAGCTCACCTCCCCACTTTCATTCATTCCTGAACCCCAAGCCCATGGAATGACACCACTCACACCTAAAGTAGGCCTCCCTACCTCAGTTAGCTCGGTCTGGAAACTCTCACAGACGTTCCCACAGGCTTGTCTCCCAGATGATTCTAGATCCTGTCAAGCTGACAGTCAATATTGACCACCACAGCTCGTTAAAGGGGAAATTTCCCTTTGAGGCAGGAGGGTGTCATATCTCAAAGGAAGTCCACAGACCTGGACATGAAGGGACCTTCTGGCTACCTCTGTAATGGGAGTGCCACCAACCATGCTATTGGGAAAGGGTGCTATCAACCATTGACCCATGCCACTTGTCAAGAGTGGTGTCAACCATGGACAATGTCAAGTGTGCCAAGGAAACTAGCATGATGATATTGGTGTCCCCGTGGTGCCCGGGAGGTGGATGACACAGAATCTCTGCAGTCTCTGTCTTCCTGATGAACTATTCTCTCAGAAGGAAGGAGCTAATCCACATAATGATGATGGGAGAGGGTATACTCTGATTAAAGACATCTACTCACTCACGCTTAGGTTGTTGTGAAACAAGATCTTTCTGACTGTTGGAGATTGGGTTGATGGCCTGTGGTGGCATGGAAGATACCCTCACCAGGGCACAAAGACCAGATATAGGGGCCTGCTCACCTCCCCAGCCCCCAGCAACTTGTACTGGTAAACGTTTAATGACTGGCTCTCCAAAGAAGGGTTGGGGCTGCTTTTCCTCATTTGCCAACTTCATGCTATAAATGCTCCCGTCGCATGGCTTCCTGCTGCTGTGTCTATGTGGCATCAGTGAGCATGTGTTTGGGAAGAAATCCAGAGCACAGCCTTGGGAGCTGGTGCAGGCTAACTCAAGCACACCTCTGCATGATGTTCATGTATGTTATAGGTCTTCTGGAAAGTTTCACCTGATTGTTCTTTTGCTGGTGATAAATACATGGGATTTCACTTGGGTTTGGAAAGGAAAAACAAATTTGAGAACTACAAATTTGAATATTGTAGAAGGTTGATTTCTGAAGTTTGTTGCCTGTTTGATTTTTTCCTTTTCAGTATATGAATAAAGAGATTAACAGTATATTGTATATTCTGTGGGGCTGGTTTAACTATGACTATAAACGGATGTATCTGAGAGCTGTTAGTTTAAGGGGGTGAGGTGCAAGAAAACACTGAGCGACAGCCAGTGATCTGGCTCAGTGGTACTGCTTGCACAAAACCACGAGCCTCTGTTCCAATTCATGTGCACCCAGCTGAATGACAGCTTGTGGAGACAGCTTGATTGTTTTCTTGTTTCGTAAACAAAACCAAACTACTAGAGTTAGGGTCCCTAACTCTAGTAAAGTTTGAGGAAGTTTCATTGAATCTATGCAGACACCAGGTGGCGCTGTGTGTCTTTGAAGCCTGGCTTCCTCGGGTTGCTAAGCAGCATTCGGGATGGGCGTACTTTGGAAATGGGATGAACACTGGGAGATTTTGTTTACGCTGTGTATGAAAAGAAGTTTTATTTTTTAATATTTTACTTATTTGTTGTGTATACAGTCTTCTACCTGCATTCCAGGGGAGGGTGGTTGTGAACCACCATGTGGTTGCCGGGAATTGAACTCAGGACCTCTGGAAGAACAGTCAGTGCTCTTAACCACTGAGCCATCTCTAAGTTCAATAGTATCATATTGGTATAAAAGCAGGACTGAGATGTGAATAGGTAAAGAACTTGCCCCACAAGTATGCCCCATTTAAAAAACAGACACTAGAAGTAGTGTCTGCATTACCAGGGTTCCCAAAATGAAATGCAAGGCAGATGTGAGAGAATCTCTGGAAGCTGGCAGGTCAGTGAGCCATCCAACTTACCCCACACTGCCACCTAGGACCTGAGGGCTGCCTCACCCTCTGACACACACTCACCATCGGCACAAGTTTCTCAATGTAGAGTGACTCTTTCCCTCTGTGTCAAAGAATTGAAATTGTTGGGAGAGTGCATGTTCTGCAAGTCTGGGGAACTGAGTTCAAATCTCCTGCAAGTTAAAGCCCAACATGACTGCATGTGCTGTAAGTCCAGCTTTGGGAAAACAGCAAACTTCAAGTTCGGTGAGAGATCTTGTCTCTAGAGGGGAAAAAAACCCACCCAGCTCTGGTCTCCACATGCACACGCATGGGCACACGTATCTGCACACTCACGCGCATGCAAAAACAGGCAGCCTTGTCTTAACAAGGGTTAAAACAAAAATCTCTGAATTGCTACAATTCCAGGAAGACCTTGGATGTGGGAAGTTAAAGTAGCCCAGTCTGTGGCAGCATGTACCTGATTAGAGAAAAGGTCCAGAAGTATGTGACAGTCAGCCTGCGTGTGTCCGTCTGTCTGTCTGCCCCACTCTCAGAAGCATCTCCTGTAAGACTCCTTTCCCCATCTCATATTGACGTGAACTCTACCACTTGCTTCCAGGAACTGTCACCAGTAGTTAGTCTTGGCAATAGGGACCATTTTCAGAAAAAAAAATTGCAGATGGCTAACCTGTGTGCCCCACGGTGTTTGAGCTATCTTGTGTTCTAGCTCTGAGCTGAACTAGCTCAGGTGGAACCAGACAGCAGGAGGCTCTGTGAGGTTCCCTCTGCCCACCTTTCTCTCCCACAAGTGCAAGCAAGGCAAAGTGCTTCTCTGCAGTGCCTCAGCCTGAAACTCCTGGACTGCCTTGGCCGCTGCCCACCCTCCACCCTTCCTAACAGTTGCCATGAAGGATGTGGGAGACCTGGAGGTGTAGCTTTAAAGAGACAGCTCATAATCTCCCTCACAGGACTCAGGAATGCCGATGGGGCCCTTGTTCCTTCAGCAGAGGCCACAAGGATCTGAGGATGGCCGTGAACTTCAGATCCTCCTGCCATCACCTCCAAAGTGCTGAGATTACAAGTATGCACTACCGCACCGGTTTTTTTTTTCGATGCTCGAGGGTGGGAACCGGGTCTTCATGCATGCAAGGCAAGCCTTCACCCACCTGAGCTATAGCTTCATCCAACGGCTGTATTTCTCAGGGATGAAATCCAGGTGACGGAATAGGCAGGGTGACACTTGCATTGATTTGAGTATGAAATGTCCCTTGCAGACTTCCTGGTCCACTGAGATGTGAGCGAGCAGCCTCACCCTCCTACTGCCCTGAGCCAAACTGTCCTTTGCCACCTGACCTTCCTCTCATGATAAGCTATCTCTCCGGAACTGTGAACCAGAAAAAAATCTTCCCCTAAGATGATTCCATCATGCACAAGGTCACAAGATAAGTAGCTGACACAGCACTTACAAGGGTATTTTCCTTGATGAATGGGAGTTGGGGTTCACTGCACATGGGATGAAAGCCAGGCTGTTTGTGTTGTTCTGAGAATAGTAACATGTCGACTGCCATTCCATTCACAGGGCATCTGCTGTGACCTAGGTATTGTGCATGACGCTTCTGTACAGAGCTTCGTATACAGTGCACATGCACTGGGTCCCCCTCCCTCGCTGGGGACCATGGCATACTCACACTCCAGAAGACACAAGCAGCCAGCTTAGCCTGCACAATGCAACCACGGTCCCACAGACGTGCAGGAGAGCACACCTGGTTAGGCAGGTGTCACAGGTCTCATTTGCCAATGCAGGAAGAGCTTGAAACTTGGGTCCCTGGCCCCCTGAGTCATGGCTGTGTGAATGAACCCCATACCTGGCTATAAACTCAAACCTGTTTATATTTTCTTCATTGACTCCCCCTTAAAATTCTTAACCAACTGTGTTCCTAATCAAGAATCTGTTACTAACCCTTTACTTACCTTGGGATTTGCTAAATCTAATCAGTTGGAACAAATACCTCAGAAAGTTTTACATGATTTAAAATATTCTCAAGCAACTTTATGAAGTTCTTTCTGCTCAAGCGGGAGATGCTGAATTTAAAAAATACTAGTTGTTAAACTTGGTTGTTGTTGTTTTCATGTTTTTGGGACATAGTCTCACTATGTAGCCTAAGATGGCCTTGAACTCATAGCAATCCTCCTGCTTTGGCTTTCCAAGCACTGGGATTACAGTGAATCACCGTGCCAGGCTAAAAATTTACTGAAGCTTCTGAGTTTGGGCCTTTATTCCCTTTTTAAAAATTGTTAGTTAGTTAGTTAGTTAGTTAGTTAGTTTGTTTTACACCCCAGCCACAGTTCCCCCTCCCTCTTCTCCCAGTTCCCCCCCTGGCCCAGCCCCTTTCTGTCCCCACTCCCCAACCCACTCCTCCCCCCCTTTCTGTTCAGGAGAGGGCAGGTCCCCCGTGAGTTTCAACAAAACATGGCCATTATTCTTCAGCAGGAAAAACAATTTTTATTGTGATAGTCTCATCAATGTGAAGATGTAAGATTACTTTCTTGATTAGGGAAAATTTTTTTAAAGTTGGGGAGATCCAGATCTGTCACATGATTACGAACAAGTCAAAATATGTTGTTGGAGAGATCCGGACCCGTTGGGGGTTAGTATAGCTTAACAATAATGAAAAGTACCAACCATGAGGGGAACTTGGCATGATTTTACTCTTACAGTAATTAACCTAATGCAGGTTAGCTAAAGCATGCTGGTGTTCCAGTGGCCATCAATGGACCTCTGTGTACACAAAGAGTTGTCCTCTTTGTCCTCTGTAAGCTTGTAGAGCCTATGTCACATTCACTAGAATGAAGATAATTTTAGACATAGAGATAAATGGCTGTATCAATAATTCAGTAATAATTTGGAAGTTTTGGTTTCTGAACCATTGTTCCTGGATCTTTGCTGTGTCATGGACCGCATCTTTCAGGTTCAGGCATCTCCACTCAAGCTGCTCTTCTGGGTCAACACCTCCTCCTCCCACCCCTTCTCCTCCAGCCCCACCCACACCCAGCTCATCTGCACCTGAAATCCTACTCATAGCCAGGCAGTAGCATGCATTCTATCCCATCACTCAGGAGGCTGAGGCAAAGGGGACCATCAGCTCAGGATCATCCTGGCCTGCATGGGGGAATCTAAGACAATGAGAATAAGACTTTACAGAGGGGCCCCCTGGCACCCTCCTCCCTGCTCTCCCTGGGGTTTCATCTTGCAGAACCATAGTTTGATATCACAACTAAGATATTGACATCAGCAAGGTGCATGGAACATATGCAGATCACCAGATCTCTGAGTGTGTGCGTGTGTGTGTTAGGTTCAATATGATTTCACCACATGCAAGTTCACCATCATAGCCAGACTCAGAAGCAACCCATGGCTTTTCAAAAGTACAGCCACCTCCCCCTACCACTCCAGCCTTTCCTTATCCCTGGTAACCTCTAATCTGGTTTTCATTTCTGTAATTTTCTCATTTCAAAATGTCACAGAAATGGGAAATTATAGTGTGCAGCTTCTGGGACTGGCATTTGTCACTCTGCACTCTCCCTGGAGCATCATCATACCTGCATGCATTAATTATTCCCTTTCACTGATGCCTACTCATTTTTTAAACACCTGTTCAGCTGCCCCCCACTGTAATGAATCTCCTTTCTGTGCTCACCTACGAATCTTAAACAACTCTCTACCTGGTGAATAGATGGCTTTGAGTTTGCTGTGTTCTCAGGAGCTTTCCAAGGCACCCTTGCATACATTGCTTCATCTAATCTCATGTAAATGTCTGTCTCTTATCTTTGCACATTCTGGTTAAAGAGGCAGGTGTGCCTTGTCTGTTTGCAAAATGTCAAGTTCGTTACCTCTCACCAAGTCTGTTCCATTAGCTGATGGAAGCATGAGATCCTTTCAGACACGTTTTGGGAAGAAAGCCATCTCCTGGGGAAGGCTAACAGAAGATTCTGACTCTCCTGGAGAACAAGAAGACTGTGTGTGTGTGTGTGTGTGTGTGTGTGTGTGTGTGTGTGTGTCCGCCTGGGATCAAAGCTCCAGGGAGGTAAAGGCAGAAGTTTAAAGTCATCTTCCACTATTATACCCAGCTTGAGGATAGCTTGGGCTACATAAAACCCTTTCTCTAAAAAACAAGCAAAGCAACACACACACACACACACACACACACACACAATCCACCACAGTAGATCATATCGGCAATGGGATTAGCACCAAGGTCAATGGTAAGCATGGGGAAGTGGAAGGCGAGTGCGAGGAAGATGAAGGCCCTGCATGAGATGACCCAGTGCTTGTGACCAAGCCCACAGTGGCAGAGAAGAAAGGACTGTACATCCTTCAGCATCAGTACTAAGGGGCAGCTCGCACACACCCAGAACAGAAAATTCAGTGGTCTGCTCACCGGTTATCCTTTTGGTCTTACTGGGGGGCCGAGACTAGAGGGACTGGCTTTGGATAGACCCCCAATCTAGAAAGCTGTTCGCAGGCTCTGTGTTCTCAGAAGCCAGGCATTCAGCAGGCAGCCTGAGTTAGGCTAGGTCACTAGCCCCTTTTTGTACAGATCTGTTGGTGCTCAGCAAATCAGTGATAATAACACGGTTCCCTGGTGCAAACATGGTTTCTGTGTATTCTAGATGATGTGTAAACTGGAGGGGTGGGGTGGAGGGCCTGCGGCTTCCTTTTCCCCAGAAGCAGCTGAGCCGGGAGACATCGCAGATCTGCCTTGAACACAGAGCAGGAGGCAATGTCTGAGTGAGATGTGAACTCACATCTTCTAGCAAGATGGAGCCCCCTTCCCCTCCCTTTTCTTTTCCTCCCCCTCCCCTCGTGTTCACGCCTTCCTCTCCTCTTCTCCTCCTTCCTCCTTGTTTCTCTCTTCTTCCTCCCTCTCTGTCTCCTCCTCACCCCCTTTCTATCTGCTTCTCTCTCTCTTCAAACTATATGCTTATCAAATGAATTGAAACTCAATAAAGGAAATTTAAATGAGGCACACAACAGAATAGAAATATTACCTCTTTCCTCAGAGGCAGATATTGTTTTTACAGTATACCTTTTTCAAAACCTGCTTATCATGTCTTTAATTGCCTTCTTCAGCGGAAAAAAAGCTTTCATCCCTCTCTCCTGTTATGTACCCTCACCTGCAGACACACACACACACACACACACACACACACACACACACGGGTGGGGAGGCAGATGGAAGTGCTCTGCTTTATCTCTCAAGCACATAACCACCAGTGCAGTCCGGCTTCTAGTTGGCCCGGGAGATCCTGGAAGGGAAGTTTCCTCAAGGCTGTGGGGAGCTCCTCTGCAACACCGCAGCTTATGCTTGCTTCAGAAAAAGCCCTGGCACCAACCCATGGGACAGAAAGGCTCCATGCCACCAGTGGGCCCGTTTGTCCTTACTCCATGCAAGAAAAAACAAAAACAAAAAACACCCTCTTGTGTTGTTCCTTACTCACTCAACCTCATACTTGAAAAAGACAGAAGGAACTAGATTTACTCCAAAGGGACAAATGTCTGCCTTTAAACGCTACTCAAATATGAGGTAGACTATCTGCCCTTCCAGAAACAGGACATGGACCCATGTCAACACAGTACATCAAAGCAGCTGCCTGCTTGTGTGGTTGTGTTTTGTTTGTGCTTTAACAAATAAAGCTTGCCTGAAGAGCAGAGTTCGGAGCTAGTCATTCGTTAGCCACAGAGGCCAGGCAGTGGTGGCACACAACTTTAATCCCAGCAACTGAGAGGCAGAGGCAGGCAGATCTCTGTGAGTTCAAGGCCACCCTGGGCTACACGAGATTGATCCAGTCTAGGCGGTAATGGCACACACCTTTAATCCCAGTGCTTGGGAGTCACATGTCTTTAATCCCAGCACTAGGGAGGTGGAGATAGGAGTGATATGGCTGGGCAGAGAAAGAAATATAAAGTGGGAGGAGACAGGAGCTCATCGCATTCAGTCTGAAGCTTCATAGAGACATCATTCAGTCTGAGGATTCCTGGGGATAAAATTGCCTCTTTGGTCTGAGGACTCGGTAGAGATGAGAACTAGTGGCTGGCTGCTTGGCTTCTCTGATCTTTCAGTATTAACGCCTATATCTGACTCCAGGTTTTTATTATTAAAACCAATTAGAATTCATGCTACAGGCTTGCCCATGAGAGTAATGGCTACAAAGTCACTGATACTGTGGCATTCTCTTATAAAATCACAGGAGTTTTTAGAAAACAACAAGTCTCCCAACCTGTAAAGAGCATGATTTACAAGGAAATGTCAGCTGTTGTCAAGTATTGGTTACTGTGAAATAATGTTAACTGTGCAACAAGAATATGAATGTCCTTTATAGCCTGCCCAAGTGTAGGAAGTGTCACCCAGTTAGTTCACATTAAAAAATAAAGGGTACAAATCATATAACCCTCATGGGACAGCATGGCGAATACTGCATCCATGAACTTTTCCAAAAACAAACCTTCTAGAAAATAAGCTTCAGGAGATCAAATGATAAAGAGGACACTGAGGTGACACTGCTCTTGAGCCACCAAGGTCACACCTGGTGGCTCAAAGGGAAGAGTTTGTATTTCTTTGGCCTAACAACACTGGTACAACCTAACTTTCTCACCAGTCAAAAAAGCAAAACCAACAGATCTGGTAAACATGCACAATGGAGGACACCCATAGCTGCTTGTGGGGTTATAAACTAATCCAGTCACCAAAGAAAGCGCTACAGTCTTTGAAAACAGAACTACAAGATCCAGCCATACAGTCTTTGAAAATAGAACTACAAGATCAGCCAAGTCACTCCTGTGGTTATACCCAAAGGCATCGAAGTCAGCGGACCACAGAGGTATCTGTGAACCCATGT